TCACTGGCTGAGCGCGGTGCGGGCGCAACACCAAGGGTTGCAATCCCGTTGCCGGTCAGTAAAAAAGACAAAAAGGAAAAAAAAAAAAAGAAGACCAAATGGGTCTCAATGGGCTAAAATCAAGGTATCAGCGGGGCTGCTTTCCTTCTGAAGGCTCTAGAGGAGAATGTACTTTCTTGCCTCTTCAAGCTTCTAGAGGACACTGGCATGCCTGGCTTGTGGCTCCTTCCTTTATCTGCAAAGCCAGCAATGGTGGGTTGAGTCCTTCTCACACTGCATTACTCTGCCTCTGCCTACTCTGCCTCCCTGTTCCACATTTAAAAACCACACCTTTACCCTGGGCCTACCTGGATTATCTAGAATAATCTCCTTATCTTTTTTTTTTTTTTTTGTCTTTTTTTTCGTGACCGGCAACGGATCGCAACCCTCAGTGTTGCGCCTGTACCAGACCGGGACTGGCTACGGGATTGCAACCCTCGGTGTTGCCCCCGCTCCTCGCTCAGCCAGTGAGCGGCCGGTCTGTATGNGCGCACTGTAGCAGTGCGCCACCAGGCCGGCCCATAATCTCCTTATCTTAAAGTCAGCTGTTAAGCAACCTTAATCCACCTTCCCCACCGCCATGTAACATGACATGGACATCTTTGGGGGCAATTACTCTGCCCACTACAGCAGATCACTTATGCTTTCAGGACATATACAACCTGTCCTGCCTACCTCAGTCACTGGAGGGTTCATTGAGACATTAATAAGAACAGCTTTGAAATGTATAATGTGTTATAGAAATACACAGGGTGGTTTATAAGGGTCAGTCATAATATCCAATAATACTACACACTCACCAAAATCCAGGCTGTGGCCTCATGGTCGGCAGGACCCCCTCGCACCTGGACAGCTATATTGACGTGGTCCCCAGGCAACTCCTCCAGCACCTGGGTGCCCTCGGAGGAATGTGTGACCTATAGAGGACAGAAAAACCAGGAGTGGTTTAGAAAAAGTATTCTGGATAAGGACCACCCCACAGACCTCCTTGCCATCCTCATCCTCCCACTGACTCAAAATAAGAGGTGCTGAAACCCTAGCACCTCTCATCCCTGTTATAATGATGTCAGTGACTCCTTAAACCTAAATGCACAGTTAGCTCTCCATATCCATGCATTCTGCACTGGCGGATTTAACAAACTACGGATCAAAAATATCAGGAAAAAAAAACAGTAAAAAATAACAATACAAGTAGAAAATAATACAGTATAACAGCTGTTTACATAGCATTTACACTGTATTAGGTACTATAAGTAATCTAAACATGATTTAAGTATACGGNTACATAGCATTTACACTGTATTAGGTACTATAAGTAATCTAAACATGATTTAAGTATACGGGAGGATGTGATAAGCTGTTTGCAAATACACCATTTTATATCAGAGACTTGAGCATGCACATATTTTGGTATCCGCTGGGGGTCCTGGAACTAACCCCTCTCAGTACCAAGAAAACTGTATGTACAGACAGCACCCCCTGCTGGACAGCAAAGATGCAAACTTCACCCCTATCTGGCAGAATTTCATGGCCCTTGCCAGGGCTGTTGAGATAAGGGCACAACATATATTGTGATCCATGCCAGTCTCTCAAAAATTGGTCTTCAGGAAGATTGGTCTTGGAACAGGATTGAATCTTCTACCACCAGCCAGGTCTGTCTACAACTCAGCTCCACAATGAAGTGGGCTCTAATGTCACAGCAGCTGGTGTAAGCTAGAAAAACAGCAGAGCCTTCTGGGCTCCTAAGTAAACAGCACAGAAGAATGTAAGTCCTCCCCCTCCAGGGTAAAAGTTTTGAGGCAGAGGGGTGGTATATATGAGATTTTTTTAATCCTCTAGCCCACATATCAAGATATATGCACAAACACACTTAAAAGAAAAAAACATTTACCACCCATGTCTGTCTTTCTGTTTCTCTGTCTCTCTTGCACATGCACACGCGCGTGCACACACACACACACACACACACACACACGAGTTCTTGGACAGAAATACCTTCCTCCACGTGATG